CAACTTGACCCTTGAACACAGTAATACCCACCCATTTATTTCAGACCTTTCCAATTTCTCTTAATCATAGTTTAGAAATATCACATCAGTTATTAGGTTTCATCTTCAGTACTTGATTATCTATTGTGAATGGTATCCTTCAAGATTTTCATTATCTAAAAGTTAGTTAGTTGCTGGCCATACCAGTTATCACGTTATACCCCCTCAGCCCGAAATCTACTATGCTTTGCCGTTTTGTGATACTGGAGCTGAGTCTTGTTGAGATTTCTCTTTTGGCAGCTGGTAGAATATTAGGTTTTGTCAGTAGAGGGTGTAGGAAGAATTCTCTAAGACAGCATAATAATGGTTCAGGTGTGTTTTGCTTCTTGCTTCTATGGCAAAGCATGGTTGTGAGGAGTGTGTGGGAAATGCAGTGGTATCCACTCTCTAGTCACTTTCACTGACATCCAGTGGAGGGCATCATTCTCTCCAGTCTTGGCCCACCAGATACAGACCAACTCTGACCTGAGATACCTCAGTGAACTCCCACCCTATCCAGTAGGCCACAGTCACACCCTCTCCAATGAGGTCTGAATCTACGTTGGTTAGTAGGGGACTTTCCAACTTTGTTCCTTCCTTGGGTACGTTCTCTTAGCCTCTCTCAGCAGAATACTTCCTACTCCTGCATTCTTTAGAGTTTCTTTTAGTAATTAATCACCTTTTGCTAGTTAATAATTCTTTATATTAAATTTCCTGTTCAAATTACTTGCATGGTTTCTGTCTCCTGAATAGGTCAACTGATACACGAGTACATGGAAATGCAATCAATTTCTGTGTAATTACCTTGTGTTCTACAACTTGATAAATTCACTTATTAATTCTAATAGTTTTTCTGTGGATTTATTTGGGTTTTCTATATATTCAATCATGTTGTCTACATATAGTGATACTTTATTTCTTCCTTTCTAATTCTTACCATCTTATTTAAAGAACCTTATTGCACAGGCTAGCAGCCCTAGTTCAATGTTGAACAGTCCTGAGAGTGGGCATCTGTATTAGTTTCATTTTGCTGCTGTAACAAATTACCACATACTTAGTGGCTTAAAATAACACAAATACATTCCCTTATAGTTCTGGAGGTTAGATGTACAAAATCAGTTTCATTGGGCCAAGGTCAACTTGTCGGCAGGGCTGGTTCCTTTTTGAGGCTCTGAAGGGAGAATCTGTTTCCTTGCTTTTTTTTAACTTCTAAAGGCTGCCTTTATTCTTTGGTATGGGGCCCCCTCCATTTTCAAAGTGCATCATTTCAATATATCTGCTTCCATCATCACATCACTTCCCTCTGACTCTGACTCCTCCCGTGTCTCTCTTATTAAGGATCACTGTGATTGCATTGGATCCACCTAGACAATGCAGGATAGTCTCCTTGGGTTGAGATCCTTAATTTAATCACATCTGCCAAGTCCCTTTAGCCAACTTTGTTGATCATAGTTTCATCTTGTAAAATATATGCATTCACAGATTCTTGGAACTAGGATGTGGACATATTGGGCGAAAGAGCATTATTCAGTTTATCACAGTATTCTCCCACATTCCGAATCTTAGAAGGAAAGGTTTCAACATTTCTCCATTAAGTATGCTATTTTCTATAGGCTGGGGCAGATATCCTTTATGAGATTAAGGAAGTTTGCTTCTGCTTTTAGTTTTTTGTGTGTTTTTTTGCTTTTTGAAATTTATTTTTATTGAGATATAATTGACATATAACATTGGGTAAGTTTAATGTATGCAACATATTGTTTTGATACATTTATAAATTATAATGTGATTACTACTGATGGTTAGCTAAAACATCTGTCCCATCACATAGCTGTCATTTCTTTTTCTGTGGTAGGAACAATGAAGATCTAGTCTCTTGGCAGCTCTGAAGTTTATAATACAGTAGTGTGGTCTATAATCACTATGCTGTTCATTAGATCAATCCCAGAATTCTAGGTGAACAAGCTTAGGTACAAGTCAGGGACTTCTGGTGCATGACCATGCTTGAAGACACCATAGAAACAATTTCAAAGTCATGCTGTTTTTAAAAGGGATGAATGAATTGAAATTACATCCCTGAAGACAGGACTTTCAGGTTGATGGATTCAAAGATGGTCGGGGCATACAAGTGAGTAGGATTTTACATCTACTTCATGCTTTCCTCATATTTTTTTTTGTATCATTAATATACAATTACATGAGTCTGCTTTTAGTTTTCTAGATGTTTTTTAAAACCAGGGTAAAATACATCCAACAATTTTTTCTTATTTTGAGACAATTACATGATTTCTTTAATTTTATTAAACTGGTGAATTATACTGATTGACTTTTGAATGTTAAAACAACCTAGAATTCCTAGCATTCCTAGAATAAACCAAATTTAGTTGTGATACATTAAACTTTTGCTAATATTTCATTTGGGATTTTTTCCATCTAAATTTATGAGTGATATTAGTCTTTAATTTTTCTTTTCTATAGTGTTCTTCTTTTGGTATCAGGTTTATGCTGACCTCCTAAAATATTATTGGAAATGTTCCCTCTATTTCTATCCTCTAAGAATTTTTGTAAGAAAATTTTTGTTTCTTAAATGTATATTATAATGGCTAATGATGTTATCTGAGCCTAGAGTTTTCTTTGTAGAAAGTTTCAAAATTTCAGATCCAATTTCTTCACTAGTTAGAGGATCGTTCAGATTTTCTATTTCTGTTTGTGTCAGTTTGGGGCGTGTGTGTGGGGGGGTGTACATATGGATTTTAGGAATTTGTCCATTTAATCTAAAGTTTCAGTTCATTAGCATAAGAGTTTCCATAATACATCCTATGAACTTTTTAATATCTGTAAAGTCTATAGTAATGTCCCACCTTTCAACTCTGACATTGGTTATTTCTCCCTCAAACTCTCAATTTGTCTCTCTTTCCTTACCAGAGTTTTATCAACTTTACCAGTTTCTTCAAACAACCATTGCTTTTTTTACTTTGTTGATCATAGTTTCATCTTGTAAAATATATGCATTTAGGGTTATCAATGACTCTCTAATTTGTATTCTGGAAGTCTAATATGTTGCATTTTCATTATTACTCAGTTTTAGCATTTTAATTTCCATTGTGATTTCTTCTTTGATCCAAGTGTTATTTAGAATCGTAGGTCCAAGGGGATTTTCTGGTTACCTTTTGCTATTATTGCTCAATACACTATGTCAGAGAATTTATTTTGTATATTCCAATACAAAATTTGTTGAGATTTACTTTATGTTCCAGTTTATGGTCAATTTTGTAAATGCTCCATTTGTGCTTGGCAAGAATATGTATTCTGCAATGTTGGGTGCAGAGTTCTATATATGTCTTTTAGGGAACATCTGCTAACTTTTTTATCTGTTTATTCTTTCAGTTCTTGAGAGAAGAGTATGAAAATCTACTGCTATGATGGTAGATTTTTCTACTTCAATTTGTTCTGTCCATTTTTGTTTTACATATTTTGAGGCTATATTAATAGCTGCATATATGCTTAGAATGGATTTAATTGGCAACTTGATTATTTTACCTTATGAAGTATCCCTTTTTATTTCTAGTAATATATATTTCCTTGGAGTCTACTTGATCAGAGATTGATAGAGCTGTTCCAAGTTTGTTTTTGTTAGCATTTTCAAGTTTTATCTTTTGTGAGTTTATTTTCAATGTTTTGTATCTATGACTTCACTGTCTGCTGGCTTCTATTGAAACTGTTGAGAAGTCTGGTATCAGTTTAATTGTTGTCTGTTTGTAGCAAAGTGTGTTTCCTCTCTGCTTGTTTTTTAAGATTTTCTCTTGCTGTTGGTGTGCTGTAGTTTCACCACAAGTGTGTGTAGGTGTGGATTTAATTTTATTTATCCTGTTTGAGAATCACTGTTCCTTTTTACCTATGAATCTGAGTCTTTCATCAGTTCAGGGAAAGTCTCAGACATTATCATTTCAAATACATCCTCTCTTATATTCCCGCTTTTGGGGACCCTGATTAGATGTATGTTAAACCTGTACATCTTACTGTCTATAATTATTAATCTTTCTAATTCTTTCTCAAGTAGTATCTAATCTTCTGTTTAACCTACTCGTTTTTTTTTAACAAGTAAGTTTTTATATCTATTTGGTTCTTCAAATCATTTTCAAATGCATGTTTGTAATTTCATCTTTTACTTCTTCAAACATTTCTTAGTTATTTTTTATTTTGTATTTGATAATTCTAATACCTGATGTCTTTGGGGAACTAAATCTGTTTTGTTTTTTCTGCTCTTACTCATAGTAGCTTGTCTACTTGATTGTTTTGGAGTCTTTGGTTATGAGCTCATGATTGATCTTAATCTCTGGATATACTTGTGGTTAAAATTAGAGATGCTTCCCATTAAGATGGGTTTGCATTTCCTTCCCAGAAGTCAAGGGGCACTACACACATAGCACTACTTTAGCCACTTTGAGGGGCCAGGCTTAATGTGGAAGTCTCAAATTCAGCTTATCCATCTTTCTGTCCTACGGTTTAGTCTCAGGATTTACTGCTACACTGAAATTAGCATTTCCCCCAGGGAAGTCCAGCCTTCTGTGCTTGCTTGCTGCCACATGTTTCCAGATATGGTTTCAAAAACCCTTCCATAGGGAGAGGAGACAGACCTTAGAGACTGATCTTACTGTGAGGCTGGTAAATGCATTAAAATTCTGTTTCCCCTAGAATCTAGCTGTTTCTTAATAGCAGGGCCTTCTAGAGTGTCTAGTCTGAGTTACCAACAGACTAAAAGTCTAATTCAGGGTTATTGTATTCTTAAGTTGAAAGAAGCTTCCTGGAAAGGGGGAATATGCCTTTTTCCAAGCATGTAATAGATTATATATATTTTTTTATCTCTATTATTCCTCACTAGTAAAAATAGAGAACTGAAATTTTAAGGAAGCAAAGAAAATGAAAATTGATATGTATGTAAGCTGTTATGTTATGAAATGGTAGGCATTACATAATTTTATTACCTGATTTATTGCAGTCTTGAAGCTGGAAAGCATTAATGAGGTCAGTTTTTCGTGAAATTATTCTCTCTTTTAACATCCTGATGGCACTACTTTCCATAATATTCACCCTGTGTTAACAAAACAATTATTATATAACAAAACCTAAGTCATCATGTTCTGTTTCATTTTAATGTGTTATGTTACCACTTACCAGTTTCTACTTTAAATGAATTGCCTAACTTCATGTATACCACCTTACCAGGTAATGAATGTATATATATATGTATGTATGTGTGTGCGTGTTTGTAAAATTTTTAAGAATTTTCATTGGTTTTCTTTTTCATTTCAAAGATTCACACAAACAATATCTGAGAATAAGAATTTTGAAAAGGAAGGAAAATAAGGAGGGATTTGTTATAGCAGATATTGAAATTTACCATAATGTTATTGAAAAAAGAAACAGCAGATATTGACACAAAAGGAGACAGATACATGATTAGAACATAACAGAAATTTCGTAAATACAGAAAACTATATATGGGAGCAATATACATGGAAAAGGATGTATTATGATTCAGTAGAAAAGGACAATTTTTTAGAAAGGTGCTAGCATAGCCAGCTAGCTGTCTAGAAGCTAAACTTCTACCCCAAACCATTACAATAATAAATTCAAAATACAGTAGGAACACAGGAATAAAGTAGTCTTGAGTAAATAGTTACTCATGATCATCCCCCTTCCCTTTGAAAAAAAAAAAAGGCAAAATGGCAGGTGTAAATCCAGCCATATCAATAATAACATTATATGTGAATGGATTTAAAAAAATAAAAAAGCAGAGACTGAGACTGGATTAAAAAACAAGAAGATCCAACTATATCCATCTATAAGAGGCACAGTTTAGTTTCAAAGACACAAAGAGCTAAAAGGAAAAGGATGAAAAATGATATACCATGCAAACAGCAACCATCAGAGAGTTAAAGTGGCCATACTAATAGTAGACAGAATAGCCTTTAAGACAAAAGCTACTACTACAGATAAAGAGGGATATTTTATAATGCTAAAAGAGTCATTCAGTCAAGAGGATAAAACAATTATAAATCTATACAAATCTAAAAACAGAGCCTAAAACTACATGAAGCAAAAACTGACAAAATAAAGGGAGAAACAGAAAATTTAACAATAATTGTTGGGGTCTTCAATACTCTACTTTCAATAATGGATAGAACAACTAGGCAGAAAATAAAAAAGGATATAAAACACTTGAGTGGCACTAAAAACCAACTAAATCTAACAGATATGTATGAAACACTCCAACCAACAACAATGAATACACATTTTTCTAAAGTATCTATGGAACATTCTCCACATATATGCCAGGCCATAATATAAGCTTCAACAGATTTGAAATTATAAAGGTCATGCAAAGTATCTTTTCTGATTACAAGAGAGATAAATTAGAGATTAATAACAAAGAAATTTGGGCAAATTGCAAATATGAGGAAATTAAACAACACAATCCTAAAAAACAAATGGGTCAAAAAAGAATCACAAGAGAAATTAGAAAATACTTTAAGATGAATGCAAATTAAAATACAACATGCCAAAACATATGAGATGCAACTAAAACAGTGCTTAGATGGAAACTGATAGCTATAAATGACCATATTAAAAAAGAAGAAAGAGCTTAATAACATAATCTCTACCTTCAAAAACTAGAGAAAAATAAAAAGTAAACTAAACCCAAAGCAGGCAGAAGAATGGAAAGAATAAAGACTAGAGGAAAAATACAGGCATACACATTTATTGCACTTTGTTTTGTTGCACTTTGCAGATACCATTTTTTAAAAATTGAAGGTTTGTACCAACCCTGCGTCAAGCAAGCCTACTGGTGTCACTTTTCCAACAGCATTTGTGCATTTCATGCCTTTGTGTCACACTTTGGTAATTCTCACAGTATTTCAAACATTTTCATTATTATTATATTTGTTATGGTGATCTGTGATCAGAGATCTTTGATGTTACTATTGGTAAATGTTTTTGGGTACCGTGAGTGATGCCCATATGACAGCGAAATTAATAAGTGTATTTTCTGACTGCTCCACCCACCAACTGCTCCTTCTCTCTCCCTCTTCTCGGCGTCCCTATTCCCTGAGACACAACAATATTGAAATTAGGCCAGTTAATAACCCTATAATGGTCTGTAAGTATTGAAGTGAAAGGAAGAGTCACACACCCCTCACTTTAAATAAAAAACTGGAAATGATTCAGCTTAGTGAGGAAGGCATGTCAAAAGACAAGGCAGGCCGAAAGCTAGTCCTTTTGCACCCAACAGCCAAGAGGTGAGTCAAAGAAGTTCTTGAAGGAAATGTAAAGTGCTACTCCAGCAAACACACAAATGATAAGAAAATCAAGCAGCGTTATGGCCAATATGGAGAAAGTTTGAGTGGTCTGGACAGAAGCTCAAACCAGCCACAACTTTCCCTTAAGCCAAAGTGTAATCCATAGCAAGACCCTAAGTCTCTTCAATTCTATGAAGGCTGACAGGGTTGTGGAACCCGAAGAAGAAATGTTTGACGCTAGCAGAGACTGGCTCGTGAAGGTTAAGGGAAGAGGGTGTCTCCATAACATAAAAATGCAAGGTGAAGAAGCAAGTTATCCAGAAGAGGTAGCTCGAATAATGAAGGTGGCTACATCAAACAACAGATTTTCATTGTAGATGGAAACAGCCTTCTCTTGGAAGAAGATGGCATCTAGGACTCCCATAGTTAGAGAGGAGAAGTTAATGCCTGATTTCGAAGCTCCAAAGGACAGACTGACTCTTGTTAGGGGTTAATGCAGCTGGTGACTTCAAATTGAAGCCAATCCTCATTCACCATTCTGAGAAATCCAGGGCCCTTGAGAATAATGCTAAATCTACTCTGTCTGTGCTCTAGAAGTGGAACAACAAAGCCTGGATGACAGTACATCTGTTTACAACATGGTTTAGTGAATATTTTAAGCCCACCATTGAGACCTACTGCTCAGAAAAAAAGATTCTTTTCAAAATACGGCTGCTCATTGACAATGCCCCTTGTCATCCAAGGGCTCCACTGGAGATGTACAACAAAATCAATATTGTTTTCATGCCTGCTAATACAACACCCATTCTGCAGCCCATGGATCATGGAGTAATTTTGACTTTCAAGTCTTATTATTCCAAAAATACATTTTGTAAGGCTATAGCTGCCATAGATAGTGATTCCTCTAACAGATCTGGGCAAAGTAAATTGAAAACCTTCTGGAAAGGATTCACTATTCTATATGCCATTAAGAACATGCGTGACTCATGAGAAGAAGTTAAAATATCAACATTCACAGTAGTTTAGAAGAAGTTGATTCCAACCCTCATGGATGTCTTTGAGGGGTTCAAGACTTCAGTGGAGGAAATAACTGCAAATGTGGTGGGAGTAGCAAGAGAATTAGAATTAGAAGTGAAACCTGAAGATGTGATTCAATTGCTGCCATCTCATGATAAAACTTCAATGGGTGAAGAGTTGCTTCTTATGGATGAGCAAAGAGTGGTTTCTTGAGAAGGAATCTACTTCCAGTGAAGATGCCATGAAGATCGTTGAAATGACAACAAAGGATTTAGGATATTGCATAGACTTAGTTGATAAAGCAGCAGCACGGTTTGAGAAGACTGACTCCAACTTTAAAAGTTCTATTGTGGGTAAAATGCTATTAAACAGCATTGCACACTACATAGAAATCGTCAGTAAAAGGAAGAGTCAATCGATATAGCAAATGTCATTGTTCCCCCATTTTGCTGCAGCCACCCCAACCTTTAGCAACCACCACCCTGATCATTCAGCAGCCATCAACACTGAAGCAAGACCCTCCACTAGTAAAAATATTGCAACTTGCTGAAAGCTCAGATGATGGTTAGCATTGTTTAGCAAAAAAGTATTTTTTAATTGATATATGTAATTTTTTTAGACATAATGCTATTGCACACTTAATAGACTATAATACAGTATAAACATAACTTTAATATGTACTGAGAAACAAAAAAAATTCACTTGACTTGCTTCATTGCAATATTTGTTTTATTGTGGTAGTCTGTAACCAAACCCACAATATTTCCAAGGTATGTCTGTAAATGAAATGGCAAACAAAAACAACAGAGAAAACCAACAAAACCAAAAAACGGGTTCTTTCAAAAGATCAAAAAAATTGAAAAACCTTTAGCAAGACTGGCCAAGAAAAAAGAGGACTCAAATTTCTAAAATCAGGAATGAAAGAGAGGTCATCACAACTGACCTTACAGAGATAAAAAGGATTATAAGCGAATACTATGAGCAATTGTACATCAAATTATATAACCTAAATGAAATGGACAAATTCCTATAAAGATACAAACTACCAAAACTGACTCAGAAGAAATAGAAAAACTGAATGTACCAAGAACAAGTAAAAAGATTGAATAAGTAATAAAACAATTTCTCACAAATGGCTTCACTGGTGACTTCTACCAAATGTTTAAAGAAGAATTAGTACCAATTATTCACAAACTCTTCCAAAAAATAGAAGAGGTGGGAATATTATTTATCTAATTACATAAAGCCAATATTACCCTGATATCAAAACAATGATCACAAGAAAACTACATACCAATATTTCTTATGAATATAGATGGAAAATCCTCCACAAAATGTTAGCACTGTAACATCTTCTTGTGTTGACAGATAGTAACTGCACTAGGGGGGGTGAGGATTTAACATTGAACCACTGTTGTACCACTATGCTGTATACTTGAAATCAATATAAGATTGTATATCAACAATACTTCAAAAAAAAATGCTAGCAAACTGCAACCAGCAACATATAAAAGAGATTATAAACCATGAACATGTGGGATTTATCCCAAGAATTCAAGGTTTGTTTAACGTCTGAAATCCATAAATGTAATATACCAATTAATAAGAGAAAAACTGTGTGATCATCTCAATAGATGCAGAGAAAATATCTGACAAAATCCAACACTCTTTCATGATTAAAACACTCAACAAACTAGACATAGAAGGGAACTTCCTCAGCCTGACAAGGGGCATCTACAAAAAACACAGCTAATACACTTAATGGTGAAAGACTGAATGTGTTCCTCTTAAGATCAGGAAAAAGGCAAGGATATCTGCTCTCACCACTTCTATTCAACATTGGTCTGGAGTTCTAGCCAGGGAACTTAAGCAAGAAAAAGTAGTAGAAGACATCCAGATTAGAAAAGAAACAAAACTATATCCATTCACAAATACTATGGTTTTGTATATGGAAAATCTCAAGGAATCTAAAATCTATCAGAAGTAATAAACAAGTCCATCAAGATTGCATTATATACAAAAATGAACCATATTTCTATACACTAGAAATGAAAGATCCAAAAATGTAATGAAGAAAAACAATTCCACTTACTGTAGCACCAAAAAGAAAAAAATACTTAGAAATGAATTTAATAAAAGAAGTCTAAGACTTCTCTACATTGAAACGCATACAACATTGTCCAACAAAATTAACAAAGATCTAAATAAGTAGAACAATATTCCATGTTCATAGATTGAAAGTCTTAATATTGTTAAGATGGCAATAGACACCAAATTCATCTATAGATTCAAAATAATCCCTATCAAAATCCCAGCTGGCATTTTTGCAGAAGGTGACAAACTGATTCTGAAATTCATATGGAAATGCCAGGGACCTAGAATAACCAAAACAATCTTTTAAAAGAACAAAGTCTGACTCGTATTTCCCAGTTTCAAAACTTACTACAAAGCTAGAGTAATCAGGACAGCATGTTATATTAGCATTAGAATAGACGTATAGATCATGGAATACAATTTAAAGTCCAGAAATAAACCTATACCATTATGATCAATTGATTTTTGACAAGTGTGTCAAGGAGTTGCTTCTTATGGATGAGCAATTAAATGCAGGAAGGGCATTCTTTCCAGCTGATAGTGTTGGGACAACTAGATATCCACATGTATAAAACAATAAATCTGGATCCTTACCTCATACCATATATAAAAATTAACTCAAAATTTATCAGACACACAAATGTAAGAGCTTAATCTACAAAATTATTAGAAGAAAACGTAGGAATAAATGCTCATGACCTTGGTTAAGCACTGGCTTCTGAGATATGATACCAAAAGCAGAAACAAAAAAGAAAAACAATATATTGGATTTCATCAAAACTAAAAACTTTTGTGCAACAAATAATACCATCAAGAAAGGGAAAAGACATTCCAGAGAATGGGAGAGACTATTTGAAAATCATATATCTAATAAGTGACATGTATATAGGATATATAAAGAACTCTAACAATGCAATAATAAAAAGAGTAATATGCATTAAAAATGGAAGAAGGATCTGAAATAGATATTTCTCCAAAGAAAATACACAAATGTCCAATAAGTACATGAAAAGACTTCAATATTACTGGTCAGTAGGGAAATGCAAACAAAAACCACAATGAGATTCTATCTCACATCCACTAAGATGGCTATAATCAAAAAGACATCATAACGGGTTGGCAAGGAGGTGGAGAAATTGGCATCCTCATACAGTGCTGGTGGGAATGTAAAATTGTATAGCCCTTTGGGAAAAAAGCTTGCAAGTTCCTCAAAATGTTGAACATAGTATTACCATATAAGCCAGCAATTCCATTTTCAGGTATATAACCAAGAGAAATGAACACATATGTATGTACAAAACCTTGTTAACCAATGTTCCAAACAGCATTATTCATAGTAGCCAAAAAGTGGAAACAACCCAAAGTTCCACTAGTTGTTGAATGGTCAAGGAAAATGTGGCATATCTATACAATGGAATATTATTTGGCCATAGAAAGGGATGAAGTATTGATACATAATACAACATGAATGAACCTCAAAAACATTGTGCTGAGTGAAAGAAGCCAGTCACAAAAGACCACATATTGTGTGACCCTATTTAAATGAAGTGTCCAGAATAAACAAATCTATAGACAGAAAGTAGATTCATGGTTGTCTAGAGTTGTGATGGGGGGCAGGTGACTGGTAAGTGGTGGCTAATAGGTAGGAATTTTCTTTTTAGGATAGCAAAAATATTCAAAAATTAGATTATGGTGATGGTTGCACAACTCTATACATGTACTAAATACATTGAATTGTATATGTTAAATTGGTAAAGTTTATGGTATATGAATTATGTCTCAACAAAGCTAAATAAATTTGAAATTAATTTATATATATGCATACATATATACAAATTACATAAATTGGTGTTGGAGACATTTTCCAACAAAGGTGAAAATCCAAAAGTTATGATGAAATTATAAATAAAATGCGATTTCATAGAACTAAAGCAAACACTAACAAAATATGCAATGTGCTCATAAAAATCCTTTATTCTTCATATGCAAAGAGCTCCTAAAAATTGATTAGAAATTAACAAGCAACCCAAAATAAAACAGGGGAATGATATAAATAGGAAATTCAAGGAAGAGAAAATGCAATGTCCAAAAACATAAATGGGTAAATACAGCTGTCTTTTTTAAAATGCTAATTAAAGCAATGAAATTTTTCATTTTCACCCATCATCTTGGCAAAAATTAAGAAGGGTAATATGATCTGAGACTAATGAGGTTACAGAAAAATAATGTTATTTCTCAAATTGTTAATTGTTACAGGTCTTTTGGCATATCTAGCAAAATTTTAAACATGTAAATCCTAAATTTTGAAATCTCACATTAAAAAACACTAAAACTTATGGATATATGTATGTACATGTATGTATACACACACACAGAAGAATGTTATAGCATTATTTTTAACTGCCGAACCCTGGAACCAGTCTGGATGGGCCATTAAGAAAGATTTAGTCACTCCATAATAGTTATGGCACATGTATACTACAGAATATTATGTAAATCTACTAAAAAGAGTAAGTTAGGTCTACCTGTACTAACTTGGAGAAATGTTCACAGTACAATCTTTAGGAAACAAAAGGCATTTGTAGAATAGAGAGTGCAGTGTAATTCTATCTTTGTTAAAAGATGTGTGTATGTCATTTACTGTCTTTCTCCTCCCACTGGGATGCATTTGATGAGGGAAAGGACTTCTGCCTATTTTGTTTATTGCTCTATCACCTATGCCTAGACCAGTGTCTGACACATAGTAGGTGCTCAAAATTTTTTTATTCAATGAATGAATAATTGCATGTCTGTTTTTTGTAGGAGCAAGAAGGTGGAAGGTTCGACTCCAGGTTATTAGTTTCAGTTGTTGCTGGGGAAAAGGATTATTGAGGAGTAAGGGGAGAGAAGATCATTAACATTGTCTTTATACATCTTTGTTTTCTCTCACCTCTTAACAATAAGCATATTCATCTTATACTGAAAAAAATCTAAAAAAGATAATGGTAAAGGATGACAAAGAAGATAACCTATGAAAGCCATCACCCAGAGAGACCCACTTAACCCCTGTGGTTACACCAAGGAGTGACCAGTAAGTACTTGTCTTCACTGCTGCGGCTGCTCCCCGCCATCCTGGACTGGGTCCGCCTGGTCCCCAGTGCTCAGAATTCTCCTTAGAGTATACACACCTGTGGTAAAGAGGCCTCGAGCATGTTGCCCTAGTTACTTGATACTGGTAGAATCGAGGAGCTGTACCATATCCCACTCTGATGTAAGCTCCTCGATTGCTGCCTTCTTCATAATAATTAGAAGCAGAAAATATAGTAACAACCTGATTAGAGAAAAAGAGGGTGAGATTCACATGGGGTTAGTTTGCACAAGGTCCTTCAGTAAAGTTAGAAATAGTTCGATTCTTTAAAAGCAAAAATCGAATTTCAAAATCCATACTGATTATCCAAGCCTGACAGGATTTCCCGTGATTCCACTGGAGAGAAACAAGGCTTTTAACTCAGTGTCCCTAGGAGGACCAAATTCTAGCCACTCATGCCCACAGTGCACGGCCTTCCATCCTAGCACATTTCAGTTCTGTATCTTAGAATCCTCCACAGTGCTCAGTTTTACAAATTCTTATTTCGCAAGGGGGTAAAGCCTTTATTTTCTTTCCCTGTGATATTTGAGCATTCAAAATAAAACTTGTCTAGTATGACAGTCTTTTTCTTTTGCTTGGAGGTGACTGATTCAGAAGGTTCAGGGACCCCCACAAAACCAGTGCTTTAAGGGCAGAGAAATCGTGGCTAGAATAAGGGAGCATGGCCATTGTGTTGGGAAGGAACCGGCCTTGGAGCTGTGGTAGATGATGGGAGGGTAAACCTGGCTCAGGCCCAGTTCTGTCCTCATGTGCCTATCACTTCGGACAAGCCATTGTCTCACTGTTTTCTTATTATAAAGAAACCCTGGATAATATATGCCTTAACCATCACATAACATTAGTATGACCCTAAAATGAACTAATAGAGTTAAGAAAAGTGAGTTTTGAAATAGAAGGAAATGCCACACAATTTGGCATTCCTTTTTATTTACTGCTGCTCTCTATTAGAAAAGGGACATTGAAGGACAACTTGGGACAAGAACCCAGTTCCTCATCCCTCACCTCTTCTAGCCCTATCAGACACTACCGAAGGAGTACAACACACTTTAAGCAGCTGCAGCAGGGGATTTGCTAGAGGTCACCTACTCGGTGTGTAGAAGAGAGGTGTATTTTACGGCTCATCGCTGCACAAAGTACAAAAGGTGAACAAAAGCAGACGGGATTTTTATGTGCTCTGTGAGGAAAGGACATGTGTAACCCCACTGTCCCGGAGAGCTGCTTTGCAGTTAGTAAATAACAAAGCCTTTCTTGGTGTGTATGTAAGGACACGTGTCAGAATTTTTATCTCTGGGATTAGGGAAGATCAGGGAAAGAAGCTGAATCTCTCTTAGGGTGAGGGACAGTGAGGCCCCTGCAAACAACCTGCATGAACTCTACTGTCTCCTGTTTGTGTGTCCCAAGGCATGGCCTTCTGTTTTAGTAATGGAGAAGATATCTTCCCATGGGCCTCTAGGCCAGACACATCCCGTGAAGCAAGACTATGCACGGGGGAGGATCTGTGGCGATGCCACTGATGATGTTGGCTTACCTTCCCGTCATGGCAGATTTCATACCCTTCGGGCTTACATTCATGGGACCTAATCAGCATCTTCAGCTGGTATTTGTTAAGAATCTGGGAGGTAATATCTGGCCCAAAATAGCAGCCTCCTCCTCGACTTATGTTTGGGTAACAGCCTTTTCTGCCTCTGGGGTCACTCCACAGGATATCAATGACCTGGGAACAACAAACCAGATTAGGCTGCTATTTACAAGTGAAAGTCGAGATTCCAACTGATTTGCCAGAAATAGTAACCCAAGTTACCCCAAAGTCTAACTAGTTCTTGCCCCTCCTTCAAAATTGTTTCATACTCATCTCCTCCAGGAATCTTTTCAGAATAACTTTTATGCCCATAGCCACCAATCCCTTTCTGTTCATCCCCATCCCCAATAACCAATGTAGTGATAACAATAGCCAAAGTACCAACACGCAGTGATCGTGAAGAATCAGCCCTTGCCTTTGTTTGGGGGTATTTTTTTGGTGGTGGTTGTCAGTAGTCTTTAAAAAAAAAAATACTATCACAACAGTTTCACAATTGCTGAATCTACCAAGGTTTTTTCTCTTAAAAGAACTTCATTGTCATGTTCAAAGGACAAAGGTGCTCGCCACAGTAAATACACATTAGGTGTCCTTAATATGTTCAAAGAGATAAAGTAGGTCTCCCAGCTTTGGCTCTGGTTTTTGCCCTGTTGAGCACATAACATGAGGAAGCCTTTTCCCCACTACAAATGTAGGCAGCTGTTCATTCAAGAATACCCCTTAAAGCCTCTACTTCACTTTTTGTGCCTTTGATAAGAAGCTTCTCAGTTTCAGTGATACACTTAGCCATGGACTGACTACCATGATGTGTTTTCCTAAATTTGCAAGTATTTTATTAGCAAAACATTTTCTTTGGGGGCTGAAAGAGATAAGTGTAGGCTATGTGATACCCAGGACTAAAGATCCAATTTTCTAAGAATATTTTTATAGAAAATTAGAGGGTCCCTTTCTGTGATTCTGATCTACATATAATGTTTATTTAAACTTCTCCTACAGGATGAGAAAAACTGGCTGTCACTAAGGCTGTGCAACCTTGAGAAAACTCTCTGAGTCTCACCTTCTAGATCTTCAAAATCAGGAAACTGGGTCAGATGACTTGTAAGGCATCTGAAAGCTCTAACAGACTATGATTCTAAGACTCTGTATTTTCAACATGTTTCTGTTGAGGGTGTGAGGAAGCATGCATTTTAAACTGTGCAGTTATTCTAGTGGGTCCACATCAGGTCTTAAGAAGAAGACCAAAAATGGCTGGCTCACTAAACCTGACTGTACATTCATTTATACATTTAGTATTAAAGGGAAGCTAGAAATAAGTGAGGAGGAAAGACAGTGAGGTGGAGAGAACAGAACTAGTAGGTGAACTCTGCAGTGACAAGCACCTGGTCAGGACTGGAGAAGCCCTGAGCCAGGCACTTACCAGACACTTGTAGAGTTTTGCTGATTGACTGAAGTGACAATTAAAACCCAAAGAAGATTCAGACCAGGAGTCTCCCTTCTCCACCACTGAATTCCAACACTGGCACAACCCTACCCTACAAATAAATGCAATGGAGCCCATTTACTTCGCTGGTGTTTATGACAAAAATAACTCATTTTGAACTGAGTCATATCTGGCATCTTATATGAATTCATGTTTGGGGGACATGATCTGACCTTTAGTATAATGAAGGAGGAAACACAGCACATGAGGAATTGTGTTTTATAAGGAGGGAATAAGTTTTAAACTCCTACATGAGATACAAGTCATTTATAGCTAAAATTTCCCCTGGAAAGCCTCTTAAATTACCTTTAAAGCACAGTACCCATGATTTTGTATATACAGCCCTATACAATAAGATATTCATATCTTACATATGTGATAATATATATGACAAACAGTATATACAAAAATAAAATTATATACTATTCTCTCCTTTTCACCATACGTATACAGTTGAAACTTACATAAATTAAATGTACATATGATGGGACTCTGTTGAACTGGAATAAGCACTGGCCAAGGAGCTGACACTCTTCAAGTGTCAGCTGTGTCACCTTGTGCAAATCACTTGACCTATTTGAGCCTTAGTTGGCTTATCAGTGAAATGAGGAAGATATATCTAACATTCAATTTTCTTTGATTCACAGTTATCAGGGGTATCAGTTTTATAGAAATGAACTACTTCAGAATCATCCATTCCTCAAGTTGTGCATTTCTTTTCTCTCTTTCAACTTCATTCACTTCACTAAGTTTATCCAGACTGTGGCCACAACATAGATTTAATTCTGAGGCTCACAAACAAAAAATTCTATAAGGGGCCTTTTGCTGGTGAAACAATTCCTCAGCAGAAACGATCTCTTTCCTCTCACCAATATCACTTTTCTGAAATGGTGGTAAGTGCATGAAAAAATAGTTATTCACAACATTCCTTCCTGAAAATTTTCAAACCAAAAATTGGAAGTTTTACTGAATGACAGATTTTATATGACCAGGGCAACAAAAATCTATTTGTATCTCAGCCTTTAAACTTCCTAAATACAAAATAAATCCAGCAAAAAGTGCCCTGTGCTTGTCTGCAGCTCTAACTAATCCAGTTTCCAAAAGTTTGCTTTAGGGGAGAGTTAATAGCTCTGAAAGATGTAGCTAGATGCTTCTCTTATAAGACACTAACACTATAGTTTCTTTTATGTTTTCCTTTAGTTATATGTCCTCTTCCAGCTTTTGAACATGTCATTTTAACAGCTGTGCTCAGTCCACACCTTCCAGCCCAGTACCTAGAGGTCTTTGGAAGACTATGCCTTCTCTACACATTGCCTCATTGGATGAGGGGAGAGTTGAGTAGCTCATTTCCTTTCTAAGACCTCCTGTCACTCTTAAGTCATCTTTCCCTTCAGTAAAAGAGCACAGACACTAGAGTCAGACCTGGGATAAAATCCGGCTCTATCTTTCAGTGACTAGCCATTTCACTCTTGGGAGCCTTCACAATGAGGCCAACTACCATATTTAAAATTGCAACTCTCTCCCCTATCTCCAGTTCTCCTGTTTTCCCTATCCTTGTTCTAGTTTTAATTTTTTCCATTGAACTTCTCACTTAATTTATTATACAATTTACTTTCTTATTATTATATTATTATTTAACTCCTCCCCTAGAATGTAACCTACATGAGGTAATAAATCTTTGGCCACTGACATTCTCAAAAGCCTAGAACAATGCCTGACACATAGTAGGCATTCAATAAATACTTGTTAAATGAATGAAGAGAAGGAAGTCACTCAGGATACAAATAATTACAATTATTTTTTTTAAACCTCTCTGGCCTCCTTGTTGCAAGTCCATCCTCAAGAAGAGTATCACACTTGTCTCTAGACAATGACTTAGTTATGAGTATATATATCCCGTCCATCTAGTGAATATAAGATATAATTTAAATTCTAGTACCCTGCCAAGAATTATGCACTTCCATGAGAATGGGATAAAAAGCCTTTGAATATTTATCATAACATAGCTCATAGATATTAAGAAATAAAGTAATTGTGAAATATGTTTTTATCAGGAAATTTTAACTCTAGCTAACTAAAGTGTACATGTCCACGATGTATTAGGAACTAAGGAAAGAAGACTAAGGATACAAATGAAATTATTAAAATATTGGGATGAGATTCTGGTCAATTTTACCCTGTATCAGCTGCAGTCATGTACATGGAGTCTGTAAGATGCCTCATCTATATTTTGGGAGTGGGGGAGGTTCTAAGAATAATGACCTCCCGTCTCCTCTCTCCTACTTCTTAAGACTCCATCTCTCCATAATTCTAACTCATCTATGCTTCCAGAGGCTACAGTTTTCTTTTAGTGCAACTCTAATATCTTTGGCATGATCCTTCTTACTCACCACAATCCTAGAAGTACTTTCTCTAACCTTGACTTTGGAATTTGTATGCCAAAATTTAAGGAGGTATCCTGTCTTGATTACTATAGGGTGCCTATTATACTTACTTGATTTTTCAATACTCTGGATGCACAAGTCAATAATGAATCCTATTTCTCTATCACTACCCCTTCCCACCATCTCTATCTCCCCACTTCTCTTCCTTCATATTAGCCCTTCATCAAATTGAGGAGATTCCCATTACATAACTCAGTAAATTTTAAAAAGATTTAAGTCATGCAAAGTATGTTCTTCAAGGACAATCAAATTCAAGTAGAAATCAATAAGAGAAGGATATATGGGAAATCTGTAAATATGCAGAAATTAAACAACACACTCTTAAATAACATGTGGGTTAAAGAAGAAATCACAAGGGCAATTAGAAAATACTTAGAGATAAGTGAAAATGAAAGTGCAACTTGGCAAAACTTATTATGATGGAGCCAAAGCAATACTTACAGGGAAATTTATAGCTTCACTAGAACAGGAAAAAGATCTCAAATCAATGACATTACCTTTCACCTTAGGAAACTAGAATAAGAAGACCAAACTAAATCTAAAACAAGCACAAAGAAGGAAATAATAAAGATTAGAGCAGAAATAAATGAAAGAACATAAAATCATAGAGAAAAATCAATAAAACCAAAAGTTAGTTCTTTGAAAAGATCAATAAAATTGACAAACCTTAGTAAGACTAAGAAAAAAAGAGGCTCAAATTACTAAAATCAGGAATGAAAGAGGGGACAAAACTACTGACCTTACAGAAATTTAAATATATATAAGTACGTATAAAAGAATACTACAAACAACTTTAGGCCAACAAATTAGATAAATTAGATGAAATGGACAAATTCCAAGGAAGACACAATCTATCAAGATTACTGAGGTACAAACTACTCAAGAAGAAATAGAAAATCTGAAGAGAACTAAAAGAAGAAGACTGAATAGGAAATCTTAGAATAATCTACAGTGAAAATCCCAGGCTCAGATGGCTTCACTGATGAATTCTACCAAACATTTGAAGAGTTTATATCAACCCTTCACAAACTCCTCCAAAAAAAACAGAAGAGGAGATAACACTTCCTAACTCATCCTTTTAGGCCAATCTTATGCTAATACCAAAGATATCATAAGAAAACAAAACTACAGACCAATATCACTTATGAATATAGATGTAAAAATCCTCAAAAAAACTATTAGAAAACTGAAGCCAGAAATATATTAAATGGATTATATGCCACAACCAAGTTGGATTTATCTAAGGAATATAAGCAATATAAGAAATCAATCAATGTAATATACCATTTGAATAAAGGAGAAATACCACATAGTGATTTTAATAGGTACAAAGAAAGCATCTGACAAAATCCAACACACTTTCGTGATAAAAACACTCAATACACATACACAATGGAATATTATTCATTCATAAGAAGAAAACAAATCCTACCATTTGCAACAGCATGGATGGAGCTAGAGGGTATTATGTTCAGTGAAATAAGCCAAGCAGAGAAAGACAAGTACCAAATGATTTCACTCATTTATAGAGTGTAAGAACAAAGCAAAATTGAAGGAACAAAACAGCAGCAGACTCACAGACTCAAAGAAGGGACTAGCAGTTACCAAAGGAAAAGAGGTAGGGAAAGGTGGGTGGGGAGGGAGGGAGAAGGGGATTAAGGGGCATTATGATTACCACACATAACGTAGGTGGCTCACGGGGAAGGCACTACAGCACGAAGAAGACAAGTAGTGACTCTGTAGCATCTTACTACACTGATGGACAGTGACTGCAATGCAGTGGGTTGGGGGAACTTGATAATATGGGTGAGTGTGGTAACCACAATGTTGCTTTGTGAAACCTTCATAAGATTATATATCAATGATACCTTAATAAAAAAACAAAACAAAACAAAATACTCAACAAAGTAGGCACAGAAGGGAATCTACTCAGTTTGATGAAGGGCAGATAATATACAAACAGCTAATATAGTTAATGGTTAAAGACTGAATGTTTCCTCCTATTATTAGGAATAAAACAAGTCTGTCAATTCTTACCACATCTATTCAGTGGTGTATTAGAGGTTCTAGACAGGGCAATTAAAGAAGAAAAAGAAATAAAAGACAGCCAGATGATTAGAAAGGAAGAAACAAAATGATCTCTGTTCACAGATAACATCCTCATCCTCTTGTATATACAAAGTCCCAAGGAATTCCCTAAAAACATTAAAATGAATAAACAAGTTAATCAAGGTTCACAACACAAGATCAGTATACAAAAGTCAATTGTATTTCCATACACCAGCAATGAGCAAACCAAAATGTAATTAAGAAACAATTCTATTTACAATAGCATCAAAAATACTTAGTAATAACATTAACAAAACAAGTGCCTCAGTGTACGTGATTAGAAAACACTGTTGAAATTTTAGAGATCTAAATATATGGAAAGAGATCTCATGTTCATGGAATTGAAGACATAATATTATTAAGATTGTAACAGTACCCAAGTTGATCCAAGGATTTGAGACAATCCCTACTAAAATCCCAGCTGCTTTTTGGTAGAAATTGGCAAGCTGATCCTAAAGTTCATATAGAAATTCAAGGGACCCAGAATAGTCAAAACGATCTTGAAAAAAGAGAACAAAGGTGGAGAACTCACACTTCCCAGTTTCAAAACTTTCTACAAAGCTACTGTAATCAAAACTGTGTAGTACTGATGAAATAGAATTAAGAATCTAGAAATCAATCTTCATATTTATGGTTTACTTTTGACAAGGGTGCCGAGAATATTCAATGAGTCTCCAATAGTCTTTCAAAAGTCTTTTTAACAAATGATGCTGGGATAACTGTACATCCACATGCAGTAGAATGAATTTGGACACCTACCTCACACCATACATAAAAATGAACTCAAAATGGATCAGACCCCTAAATGTAAGAACTAAAACTATACAAGAAGAAGAAAACATAGGAATAAATCTTCATGATTTGGTGTTAGGCAATGACTCCTTAATTATAATACCAAAACCACCAGAAAAAAAATTGATATGTTGGATTTTATTAAAATTTAAAACTTTCATGCTGCAAATAACACCATCAAGAAAGGGAAAACATAGCACACAGAATGGGAGAGAGTATTTGCAAATAATATATCTGATAAGGGATTTATCCTAGACTATATAAATTCTTACAATGCAATAATAAAAAGATAACTCAGTTTTTTAAATGGGTAAAGGATGTGATAGACATTCCCCTAAAAAGATATACAAATGACAATTAAGCACAGGAAAAGATGTTCAACATCATTAATCATTAGAGAAATGCTCAAACCATATCAAATCAAAACCATAATGATATTCTACCTCACACCTACTAAGATGGCCATAATCAAAAGGATAAACAATAACAAGTGTTAGAGAGGATGTGGATAAATTGAAATTTTCACATATTGGTGATTGAAATGTAAAATGGTGCAGCCACTTGGGAAAACAGTCTGGGAGTTTCCCAAAGTGTTAGACTTATCTTACGACCTAGCAATTTCAATCCTAGGTATACACCCAAAAGAAACAAAAACATGCCCACACAAAAACTAGTATGTGAACGCTCATAGCAATATTATTCATAATAGCCAAAAAGCGGAAACAACCCAAAATATCTACCCACTGATGAATGAATAAATAAAATGGGGTATATCCATATAATAGGATATTATTCAACAATAAAAAGAAATGAAATACTGATACAGCCTACAACATGGATAACCTCAAAACACTGGGCTCAGTAAAAGAAGCCAGACACAAAAGATCACATATCTTATGGGTCCATTTCTATAAAATAAGCAAATATGGGTCCAAATGAATATGGGTCTGATAAATATGGGTCCAAAATAAACAAATCTATAAAGACCAAGAGTAGATTACTGGTTGCCTAAGGCTCATGGGAGTCGGGGACAGACTGGGGAGGGAATGGAAAGTGACTGGTAATAGGTATGGAGTTTATTTCTCAGGTGGTAAAAATATTCTAAAATTAGACGATGGCGATAGTTGCATAGCACTCTGAACACACCAAAAACCACTGAATTAATATACTTTAAATGGGAGAATTACATGGCATGTGAATTATATCTCAACAGAGTTATTAAAAATATAGTGATGCATTCAGAGAGAAGGATGCAATGTGCTTATAAAGCTAAGTCACTTTTTATCTAGATATTGTAAGCGTTAACATCATCTATGCTGTGTCTTTGCTGCAACTTTGGCAGATACTTTGATAACCTACCTGTTCCCATTCATGCTTTGTTAACTGTTCAGAAGGGGATTCATTTGTTTTGACTCCTTGAGGCACTTTATTTTTCCCCAAAGCAGTATTATGGTCTTCACCTAATGGAACTGGTGGCATCAGCACAGATTTCATCTACAAAACAAATTCATGCTTTAGCGAAACCCTACGCTTACTATGCCGAATGCAGAACCTTCAGTACCAGCTGCTATTCTGTCTATATTAGTGTACTTCAACCCAGTGAAAAACACATGGTCACCTTTTCCATCTCACCACCTCCTTTATCTCATTGATCTACTGGTCTCTACAAAATGGGCCTGTTAATTCTGTTTGTATATTTTTCAACTAGAGGGAAAGTTTCCCATTAAAGTTTCTAAAGGACCCCAGGGGCACACATATCAATTCTAGACATGTTCTGAGGCATCATCACAAGAAATGGAAGATGCTAAGGGAAAACTAGTCTCCCTCTAAGCTTTTGTCTATGCATAGGGGTGAGAGAGAACCAACAGGCTTTGAGTTCAGAAACACCTTCTAAGAGGGTGGCTGCTTTTCATTTTGTTGTGTTTCCCAGGAGAAATGAGAAAAAGTACATCGTGGTCCAGGAAAGTCCTCAAAGGGAACATAGGTTGAAAACTTTGGAAGCCTTTCAACTTAAGTGCAATGTGGTTCTCAATCTGACCCTGCCAGCAATTATGTTCTTTCATCCTAGTAACAAAGATGATGCATTTCATAGAAAATAAAATGTCTTTCTGTTAGTACATCAATTGCTATAAGCCCATCTGCATTCCCTTATACAACCTGAGACTAATTTTATACTTGTTTCCTTGTAGCACCATACCTTTATACAAAATAATTTGAAACAATACTTCTATTACATTAGTGGCTTTAGGTCAGTAATGGACAATTCTCAATGGCAGGCATTCCATTTCTTCTATAAACTTGGGTGTATATGAAGTCTTACCTTTATTTTTCAAAATAAAATTGAATCCTATTCTGAGGTCCTGTCTCATAGATATGGTTGGAAATTCAATCTCAGCTATTATTAGTGAGTTCCTACCCTCCCTATCTCTCCCCAGCAAATGTCCACAGGTCTTAGGTAGAGCAGAACATTCTGTGACGAAATCTGGACTTGGGTACACACCACTCACTTTTGATAATCTCACTGGGCAAGGCCACATGGTCTCTTAAGTATGTGTGACTCTGCTGTTTCAAGGCCACTTGGGATCACAATACTTTGCCTGAAGCAAAACACCACACCATCATTTCTACTGGGAGTGCTAGTAGCCATCCCTTCTCATACTAGGGAGTTTGAAGAACACTAAACCAGAACCATAGTCTTAAGAATCTTCCTTCTCTGTCCCTCTTATAAGGAAGAGTCCTCCAACTTCATTAATCCCACTCCCAAGCTGCCTACCTTACAAATGCCTTTAATGAACCTAGAATGGAGGTTGTCATCAGGTTCCCCCAACCCTACTTCTCCCGTTGTAACAATTAAACCATAAGAACAGGTGTAAACCAGGAACTCTATACCTGGAGGGTCCTAAGTGATGGGGAAGTGGGCAATATAAAACTGAACTTGAAAATCTACTTCTGTATCGTATCTGGTAGAGTTCCAAAGGCTTGAACCTACTACTTGATGACAATTGAATCACATTTAATACAACAAATACGTACTACCAGTTCAACCTCACTCTAGGAGGGGTGGAAGATACAAAAAAATATACAAGTCAAATTTCTAACTTTAAAACCAGTCTTATGAGTAGGTGGAACAATGACCTCTGAAGAGGGTGATATCTGAAGTATCCTGGGAAAATTCTTGGCCCAAAAACTTCTCCCCAGAGTCTGTCTTGGTGATTGAAATTTAAACCTCACTTCTAAGTATCAGGAAAAAGAGGAGAGAGTTGGAGAAGAGAGCTCTGTGTTCAGAGTTTACACTGTGCCATTTTCTTCATCTAGGTAATTACATTTAATTCTCTCAACAATTCAACATGGTAAGTAGTTTTAGCTTCAATGTATCGGTATGGAAAGAGAGGCTTAGAAAACGTCAGTACCCTGCCCAGTCACCCAGACAGGAAATGGGTTTGTACACGGGGCTGGAGAGCATACAGAGCAGGACCTGATCTAGTCTGGAGGTTGTGCAAGGCCTTCCAGAGGAAGGGTATATTTAAGCTGAAATGAAAAGGATGAAAAAAAGCAAGCAATAATATTATCATTCTTTCGTGTATAAAGGTATAAGGGCTCCAAAGACTCAAGGTGAACAGAGGTCACACTTCTGTTTATATCAAATTAAATTCTGACACTAGACCTCACTTGCCTAGACTGGTGGGAAGTTGATTATCAGTCCTGAGGGCAAGGGTTTGGGTTTCTCGCTGGGACCACAGATGATCCTTTGGCTCCAGAGCTGCTAGTGGTCCTATGCCCAGGGGCACTCCCCTCAACCCCTGTTCTGTTCTGGGGGCTTCAGCTGGGCTCTGGTACAGGAGGAAAACAGCTCCAGTCACTCTGCAAGGCTAGCCAGAGGCCCTTCACTGAGGGTGGGGGCTCTACAAGCCACTTCTGTCAGTGGCTCTTTACTTGTTCCTGCTCTGTTTCTGTTGTACTTAACATGATGACTTAGGTTTAAAATATTTCCCCAAAATACCCTGAGCCATATTATAAGGGAGATCATATCAGTTCAGAAATAAATTGCTGTATGATTATACTTACATGAGACACTTAGTCAACTTATAGAGACAGAAAGTAGAATGGTGCTTACCAGGGTCTAGAGGGAGTGGGGAATGTAGAGTTCAGTTTGGGAAGATGGAAAGTTCTGGAAATGGATGGTGACAATAGTGGTGATGGTTGTACAACAATGTGAACATACTTAATGCTACTGAACTATATATTTAAAAATGGTTAGTGTTAAATTTTATGTTATGTATAGTTTACCACAATATTAACTAACTAGTTAGGGATGTTAATTTTTTTAAATCAGGATTTTAAAGTTTTATTTTATTTTTTTTGTGGTTGCTAAAATTTTTATTCTTTTTTTTTTTTAGGATTTTTCACTTTTAGAAACTATATGAAATGGTAACATCTCCTTGTTTTTCACTTTCATCATGAATTTTTAAAAAATATTTTCTATATATAGAAAGTTACCATTGAGTTCTTTATCATGCAAAGATTTTCTTAAAATTTGTACTAATCTTTTCAGAGTCACAACAACCACGAAAGCATAAATACAAACTAAAGTTAAAAGAGGTATATATTCCCTTATAAATCTTTGAGACAAGATTCACATAAACTTTGCTTCTTACTTTGTTTCTCTCCACATGGTGAAGTAAATTCAAGTCTGTGGACTTCGATATCCCACCATGTACGACAAGGATTTCATTGTCAATGATTGTACCAATTGGGAGCCAAGTATAGAGATCTTCCAAAATTTGTAGGATTTTTTTTCCATGCAGCTGTAAGTAAGAGCTTGAGTAAATTTTGGTTTTTTGATGGGTTGCAGTTTATTGAGTAGTCCCAATGTATGGACAAAAAGCAACCATTTTCATGCTACCCAAAGGAAATCAGCATGGAGTAAGTAACCTACTAGTAGGCATCAGTCATGTCTTTTTATTCTGTAATTTCGTACTTCAATATCTTGGTGCTTTGCTGACCCTGGGGAGACTGCTCCTGGGAGGGCTAGCTAATTCCTAGAGAAAGTAAATGCCTTGCCTTTCATATGCAAATGAGGGTACCTTTCATCTGAAAACCTACCAATCTAGAGGCCACACCCCCAGCCACCTCCCTTATCGGGCTTGCACACTCCAAGCCACTATTCCTCTGTCCTTACTGCCCCATGGCCAGGTACCAGACAACTAAAGAAAGTTCCTATGCCCCAAAACCCACTGAAGTTGTTCAAACTAGCCAATCCTAAGCCTGCTTATACCGCCCCCCCTTTCCTTCCCACAGAAACCACAATAAAGGCTCTTGACCGAGTTTCCCCCTTCCGACCAACCCTAGAGCTCCCTACACTGTCCCCCAGTGTGCTGGGCTGTGCCTTGTCTTCTACGGCAACTGTGAATAGAACCTCTTCCTTTAGGTCAGTCATTTCTGTGCCTCAATGTTTTACCATAACTGAGTAAAACAAACCTTGGGTACCTTTAAAATAATGGAATATGTTTGTATCTGTGCTGAAACTTACACAAAAGTTACAACGAAAAAGCTTCATTCAGTTGGGGAAGAAAATTAGGTCTCCACCATGGTCAGGGCATCCTGCTGTGCTTTTTATTTTATTGGCCTGGATTCTGACTAGTTCACCCATCACACTCCTGAGGGCTCTTTTTTTTACTTCTATGTATAAACAGCAAAGAGAATGCAAAAAAAAAAGTATATGAGACTTACCTTATATTTATGTAAAACCTCGTTTGTGAAGCCATACCTGAAAAAAGAAAGGGATTTAAACCATTTAATTACATGTTAACTCCCACTTATATGAGTCATGCAAAAAGGGGAGCCCTTGACATCTCACTATTGCAAGTCTCAAGAACTCAAGAAACTAGACTTTGGTGGAACTATTACTTATCCAAGTCTTTGCTAGGTGTGACTGGAAAGAACAAAAAGCAGCCCATGACATCATTCCTCCCCTCAAGGAATTTATAGTATGGTTGGGGAATGAAGATCAATTTCCATGAAACAATTACTAGACAACTTAGGAAATTTGTGGTAGGCATAAGTTGTGTATATGCTACAAATATTCAGAAAAGTGTGCTGTGGCAGCTGGGGGAAGCTGTGTGGGAAAAAGCTTTTTCATCTAGATAGATTTTTCTCAGACATCCTGTATCTTACAATAAATGAATGATAGGCGGGAGTGGGGGAAGAATGAACAAAGACATGAAGAAAAGCCTAGAAGATAAAATGTTGGCTCTTTAAACTCTCTCTGATATAGTTCATGTAATGGTATTGAAGGTTTTAATAGAGAGTGTCAGGAATTTTCATGCCTGAATAGTAGCCACTAAGGGAAATTTAATGATGGAAATTGTTTTCAATTACTTTTCCTTGCCTTAGGATAATAATATATACCCTTAATACCCAACACAATAAAGTTGGAACACAGCATACTCATTTCAGGTTTCCATATAAATCACGTCAAGTCAGGCTTCTACAGTGTAACACTTTTCTGGGATGAATTCAGTCCTGCACTCACCAAAGGTATACATGTTATTAAATCCAATGGGCACCTTATAGTCCTCATCTTTCTTGCCCTTTCTGAAACACTAAATACAGTAGACTCTACCATCCTTCAGGAAAACTATTCTTCTCATGGATTCTGTGAAAGGACACCCACCCTCCTGGTCTTCCTCCTACCTTTCTGGCTATTCTGAATCTCCTTTCCAGGTCTGCCGCTACCTAGCCTTAAATGTTGAAGTTTTCAGATTCTGTCCTAGGCCCTCCTCTCCCTTCGCTCTTTCCCTTGGCAATCTCATCTTCACCAAGGGCTCCAGGTACTATCTGTGTGTCAATACTGCTGGCCAGTGCCCCAGTCCATGATTCATTTCTGAGCTCTGGACATGTGCATTCAACTGCCTACTCAACAGCACCTCAGGTCCACTTACCCCAAACTGAACTCATCATCCTCCCTCATCCCAACTGTCTCCTTTTATCATGTTCTCAGTCTCAGGGAATAATGCTGCTGTACCCTCCAACTCAAGCCAGGAACCTGGAGGTCACCCTGGATTCTCTCCTCTTTAAGTTTCCCATACCACATTACCAAGGCTTAGGCCATCGTTGCCCAAACTCCCCTGGAATCTGGCCACTTCTTTGCATCTCCATCCCTACTACCCTTGTTGAAGTAAGACCTGGTCATCTCTATCTTCAACTACTTCCCAGTTGGCCTTCTTGTATTCACTCTTCTCTTCAACCACTTTTCCTGCTGCATTTTCAAACATAAATTTTGATACTCTGTAATGATTTTCTGTTGTTCTTAGAAAAAAGCCCAAATTCCTTTCCACAATCCAACCATTTCTTATGTCTCCAGCCCTATTAGGGATCATCCTGTCCCTCAGTCTATGCTCCTGCTCTCCTGAACTTCTTTCAAGTCTAAAAAGTCTTGCCTCAAGCTCTGCATAAATTGTCCCCTCACCATGGAATACTGTTTCTCATTCTGCTACCATGGCCCTCTCTTGATTGCCTAATTCATCCTTCAGGTCTCAGGCTAATGCCATACTTCTATCAGAGAACCTTCTGTCACTCCTCAGATAGGTTAGATCCCCCCATTTTACAAACTCATCACATTTGGAAAACCTGCTCAACACATGTCTTCCCTGCTAGATGTAAACTCCATGAGGGTAGCCTTCACATCTCTTTCATTAATCATGGTAGGTACTATATAAATATGATTAACTAACTGAATAAGTGAAAGGCTCAATGGCATGCCCAAATAAAAGTACTGAGCACATTATATATAGTGGGCCTCTGATAATAGTCTTGGGATTTTTTTCTTCATAGTCTTGCATCTGCTTCCACACCTGAGAATTAGAACTGCAACTCTAGACTCCAGCTAAGTGCCAAAACTGCCCCAAAGATAAAACTATTCAGTTGCTGAGCTTTGACCAAGGTACCCAAAAGTCAAGGAAAAAAAGCATGAAACATGCCATGCCTTCTACTGCCCTAGAGAAAGTGGTTTCTGTTTTTCATTAAACAAGAAATAAAGAAAGAAGGAAAGAAAAGGGAAAGAAGAAGAGGAGAAGGAGGAAGAAAGAAGGGAAAGGGGATCATCTGTCACCCTCTGTGCCTTCCAGCAAAAATTGTTAAATCATTTAACCAATCTTTATTCCTCAATCTCCAGTGAGTCAGACAGTTGAAATGCTATATTACAGCTGTTCTCAAATATGTTTATGAACAACTATGCCAGAAGCGATCTCCATGTCATAAAAAAAATAGGCACATCAGTGAAAAAACACAGCACTAGTTTCTGAGACAACATCTAAAGCCAAAAGAGTAGCAACAGAATGATTCCATCTAAGCCTGCTTATAGAACCCACCACACCTCCAACTTTGGCCTAACACATCTACCCAGCACACAATTTGGCATGTGAAGGGTGGGAATGGGAGGAAGAGAAATAACATAATAGAAGAGAAAAGGAGAAACAGAACTGGAAGATAAGATAGGAAGGGGACTTCAGAACAATTTATACTCAGGAGAAGACTCGGGTGGTAAATAGGGGTAAGTATTGAGGTCTTCCTTGAGATCCCCCTCCATCCCTACTTCTCTACACTCCCCTCTAACTCTCTGCTAGGAACTAAACATGGCAGCAGTTTCTAGAACAGGAAACAAAAGAGGCAATCTAACAGCCTAGGTTACCTGAAATTCATCATAAAATCTTCATGGTTCCCTCTGTTCAAGTGCAGGTTATTGGGGTAGACAAGAAAACTTACAAACAGGATCATTAGGATCTCTATGGAATTCTTTCCTCGATCTACAAAGTCACCATTAAAAACATATGGGTTGTTCTCTGAGGGGAGACCATTCTGTGGAAGGAGAACAGGGAGCAAAACAAGCAGTTAAAAGAAGGTACTTTTAATGTGTCTTTGTACTTCATGTCCCTGTGAATATGGAGAAAAGGCTGAATCGATTCTTCCACTGGGAAAAATGTGCTCACTTGCTTGAGCCAGTTTCACTCTTCCAGAGCAGGCATCTCCTGCAAGGGACCTTGAAACTGAAGAATTAGCTTGGGACAGGAAGATTCCACAGAGGGGTGGGGGTTGCTCATTCTACCCACTACTTACTATGAGCTTTCTCTGAAAGAAGCTGATATTTGACCCATCAAAAATGGCTACTCTCATCTCTTCCTTCTCCTGTGAAAAGAGGGAAATTTCTACCCAAGGAAGAACACTGAACCAAAAACCAAAAGTCTTTCATTCTGTGGACTGTGATTCCCTCAATTTTCAAAAAAAGGGATGACACTATATCACCCCACCGCTCCCCAGACCAAAGGAGAAAATGGGTATAAGAGTAGCCAGGGAAGTGTGAGGTACCATGCAACTGAGAGCAGGGCGGGTGAAATACCACTACACTCTGATACAACTACACCAAGTGGTGATAGCTGTTAGATATTCTGACTGCTCACTGACCAGGCCATATTAGTTGTTAAATATTTTGATTATCACTCCTGAGTATGTATGAGATACTACTTTTAAAAGTATGTATGAGATACTACTTTTAAACACAGTTTTAGCACAAAAATGAACCGGGATCAGGACAAAGGTCTGGTCTTTATAACAGCTATCGATCCATTTACTTCTGTACTGCTAAACTCCGAAACAAAACAAATATGCCATGCCTGATTGGGAAATAGTCGAGTTTATTTCTATTGCATAGTAATATAACTTCAAATGTTCAAAAAATAGATTACAAAGAGAAAACTTTAAGCACTCATATATCCAAATGTATGACCTCCATCAAGAAAGTTATTTTCAGGAAATAATACACATTCTAGTTATATTAATCTTTTTCAGACTATTTTCAAATTCCTCCTTTGTTAGATTTCAAACTACGTAATCTTTAAAGTCATTACTTTATACTTACCATTCTAGTATTTATATACATTTTAAATTGTTCATATCAATATCATAGAAATAGTTGAAAAAATATAATACAGGTTACAATATATAACTTAAGGGTTCCAGAAATCATTATGCAATAGAACATGTCCTGAAGATAACTGGAAACAAGCAAAGTAGTACAGTGTTCTGGGCCAGAAATAAGACTTTTCTCTAGTCTAGCTCCACTATTACCCATTTCCTTGTACAAGTTATTTAATCTTTATGAGCTGTAGTTTCCTCATCTTTAAAGTAGGGATGTTAACTTCCATACTTACACAGAGGGCTACTTTGGAACTCAAATTTGGAGTCTACTTTGGAGACTGTGTATATAAAATTGCATGAAAACTGTAAAACACCATACAAATTAAGAGATTCCTTTTTTATGACATCGATGTTATTTCTAATTTTAAAATCCCATTACTTTACATGTCCTTATACATTACTTCACATAACTTTATTCACACTGGGCTTAGATAGCATGAGCCAGTTGCAAAAATACAGGCTATTGCTCATCAAAACTTAAAGAAAAAGGGAAGGATTCTGCATCTCTGATATTCTTCCTACCCCCAGCCATCAGCTGGCTGGAATGAGTGAGCTGGAGGAGTCTGAGGGGTGTTGCAGGCTATAGGTTCTACTGGGATGGCCAGGCCTGAAGGGGGCTAGAGGAGCAGTCGCAGAGAGCCCTGGGGTGAGAATATAGAAGAACTAGGCCTGTGGGGACCTATGGATCCCTTGATCAAAGGGAGACCTTGCCTTGGAACATGTGTCCCTGGCTCAGGGAGAGGGAGCTGGATCTTACTAAAAAGTGTATGGGAACTTATTCCATGTCTAGGAAGCTAAAAGAACACGAATACTTGCATTTAGGGACACCTGAGAACATAGAGACTTCTTCTCATACTCTTGATGCAGGAGTAGAAATGGTTATGCCTCCAAATATGGAGAGGCTTAACCTCACTTAAGCAGCAAATAGAAAATGGAAATAGCTTAGTACTCAAGGGAATCCAGTAACCAGAGAGGGGCAGACCAATCAGATCTGCTAGAGTCCTATGCCCTAATGAAACAGGACTGCTAGAGGAGACAAAGGACAACTTTACTCTTTAAAAATAATAAGAGGACTATAAAATAAAGAATAAAAAAGGTAATAATTCTTGGCATTTAAAATGTGCTGTTCAGATTTAAAATATCAACAGATTAGAGCTAACTAAAGGACAGAATGGTTGGAAAATATATTATTGACCTGAGAGAGCAAGCAGATGAAAAATCTCTTACCTAGAGCAAAAAGAAAAATGTTGGAAATCTTGAGGAATGAGTAAGAGATTAGACTAAGTTCAGAGCCAAGAGAACTAATATGCCAGTAAAAAGCATTCCATATCAGGAAAAGAGAACAGATGGAGAAGAGGCAATAATTACACAAATAAGAGGGAATTTTCTATGGTTAAAAAGAGACTTCAGCCTGAAGTTTGAAAAAGCTCATGATGGGGGAAAAACTGATGGGGAAAAAATACTCCAGTTACCTGGTAAAAGTCTTAGAAGCTACCAGATAGAAAGAACAAGTTACAAGGGGAAAGAATCATCCTGGCATCAGACTTCTCATCTGCAGTAGGGAGTGTTAGAAGATGGTGGAATAAATCTACAATTTAAAGAGAGAAAAGGACTATGAACCAAGAATTGTATTTGGCCAAGACATCATAAACTTTTCAGGGTAATAGAAAATATTTGCAGGGATCAAATATTGTGTAAGGGATCAAAACCATCAAAAACATAAATGAACTTCAAGGTGGAAGAAAGACATATGTGAATATGTAATGATCTAATACCACAAAAACAATGAACATGTATAGATCGCGTGCTGTATACTAGACACAGTTTCAGAGAATAAAGCACCCACATGCCCCATAGAGGAAAACACTCAAGAAAATATTTTAACCAAATAACAGAAGTAACAATAGAAAATCCTTAAGCCATGGAAAGACCAAGAGGAATGAATACAGATATGAACAATGAACCTTCCAATATATAATTTAATATAAGTCAATAGTGATAATGTGGAACTTGCATTTAAGTACTAAGCAAGGATTCTAGAATGAGATGAGACATACTATGAAGGAAAACCTAATGTAGTCAAGAACTAAAAATGTGGCATGAGCAATAGTTAGGATTTACAGGGGTGGTTGGGGGAGAAAAGTAAAATTTTCTACAAGTCTCATCTGAATGGGGGATATACATGGAAAGCATAGAAAGTATAAAAATAAATACATTTATTTTACTGGAGGAGAGAGAGGATAATGGTAAAAGAATAAAGTTATAGCTCCTTGAGAAATATATACACATACATTATTAGAAATGTCAGGAGTGAAATGATAACCACTAGTGAATGGAAAAGCACAGTAAAAAGGCCAAAGAAGATAACAATAAAAAGAAAAGATCATGAAACAGCAAAAAGAAAAGGAAAAGGATGAAACAAAGTGAAGTAAATACTAAACCAAGTAGAAAGAAGGAAATTTTTCAAAAATATCTATTGTAATACTAAATGTAAATAGGTTAAATTCTCCCATTACAATGCCAAGATTACCAGACTACATTAAATCACAAAATTCAGGTACATATAATTTGTGAGAAATGCACATTAAAAAAATAGATAAAAGTTGAAGACAAGATAAATACAACAAAGAAAAAGCAAACATGCAAATATAAATGCTAGATAAAATGGAATTTAAGATTAAAAATGCTAAAAACAGGATCACAAAGCAACATTACATCATAATAAAAGGCACTTTAAGAAGAAGATACAATTCATGAACTTGTATCCAATAAAAGAAAAAATTTTTGCTTCATTTATTTAACTACTATAAATGCAAAAGAAAATTATTTAAAAATATAATTATTCAGATTGAATTATTGGTTTAAAATAATGTCCACAAATTCTTTGGCATGCCCTTTAACAGATGAAGACTAATTTGCCTCCCCTTGAATGTGTTTTGGACTTAAGTGATTTGCTTGTAGCAAATAGGAGGAAAAAAAGCAGAAATGATGGTGTGCAACTTTGGAGACTAAATCACAATAGGTGCTGCAGCTTCCTGCCTGCTCTCTCTCTTGCATCCACTCACTCTGAGGACAGCCAGCTATGTCGCTATGTCATGAGAATACTCAGGTACCCTGTGGAGAGGCCCATGTGGCTGTTCTGCCAATAGCCTGTGAGAACTGAAATGCTGTGCCTGTAGCCTTGTGAGTTAGCAAACTTGGAAATTGGTCCTCAAGCCTCACTAAACGTCTCAGATGACTACAGCCCTTGCCAATAGTTTGCCACCTCATGAGAGACATAAGCCAGAACTACTCAGCTAAGCTGCACTTAAATTTCTGACCCACAGAAACTGTGAGATACTAAATGTAGTTTTAAGCCACTAAGTATTGGGATAACTTGTTACACAGCAATATGTAATACATACATTTAGATGAATGTATTAGAAAATAAATATGGGGAAAAGTTGAATATATAACCAATGAGCTTAATTTAACTTATAGATATATGAAGAACTTTGTATCCTACAAATAGAGAATACAATTAATTTTTCAAATGTCCAAGAGCCTTTATGAGAATCAATCATGTACTTGATTTCAAGGAAATCCTTAACAAATTCAAAATAATAAGCATTTCATAGGGTACATTCTCATATCATAATCTAATAAAAATTAAAATAAATAATAAAAAGATGACTCAAGAAAATTGTAGTTCCTTTAATTAAGATCCTTGGAAATTAAAAATTGTAATCTTATGCATTGGATTAAAGAGGAAATTAAAAGCAAAATTACAAGTTAAATAGAAGGCTCAACTAAAACTAAAATTAGAAAAGATGGGTCGCCTTCAATGTTTTCACTATTAAAGAAGATGCACATAAAAGACTGTATTCATCTTAGGAAATTAGATG